GTGCGTGCGTGCGTGCGCGTGCATGCTTCCTGTTGTGGTTTTCCGGGATGGGAAAGCAGTCTCTCAAGGTTGCCGGTGCAGCTCTGGCCAAGGCGAAGGCTGGTGCAAGCAAGGCCAAGGCTAAGCCGGTAAAGAAGGAGGTGCTCAAGAAGCCGTCTGCCGCCGAGTCCGCGACATCGGCAGCAGCTGGCCCCATCAATCAGACGATAGATGATCTGCGAAATGGCGATCCTGCCCTCTGCGAAAAGAGAGACAAAGGCAAAGGAGTCCGATTCTCGAAGGATCGAGACTCCCTCCCTCCCCACGTCCTGCACCTCATAGACAAGGAGTCCCGGGGAAACCGTGCTTTCAAGAGCATCGTGATAAACAAGCTCTACCAGAGGCAACCGGACGGGTCTTTGCGACTGTGTCTCTCAGACCCGATTTTCAGCGAAGCACAGCAGTTGTACACGAACAGCTACAGCAAGACCAAGCAACACTCGCTTCCCGAGACGGTGATGCTGGCCAGCCACTTCGGAGGCAACGAGCGATTGTTCCAGGAGGCTGCGAGGAAGGGAGAGATTTTCTCCCAGAAGGGCCCCGACAATATCATGTATTGGTCCTTCAAGTCCTGGGAGATTGGCTGCAAGGATGGGAAAATGGTGAGCCAGAAGCTCGATCAGCAGAAGAAGGTCTCCAAGGACCAGGCCGAGGAGCTCTTGGAGGCTTTTGGTTCCGTGAACTGGAAGTTTACTCCTAAGCAGTTTGAGAAGGGCATGATTGAGGATCACGGCGAGATTTCGGCCTCCTCCCTGAATCTCTTGAAGCAGGCAATCCAAAGCGAGGAGAAGCTTTGCAAGGAGACAAACAGTCTCTTGAAGAGCACGGGCCTCGACAGCGACTTTATCAAAAGCCTCAAGGTTTTCTACACGAAGGCCACAGCCCACATTGCCAGTTTGAACCAGCTGAAGGAGCTGAACATGATGCCGGATGCCACGACCCCGACGGAGGAATCCGTGAAGCAGCTGTTCTTGGATATCGCAGAGCACACAAGCAAGTTCAATGATTCTGTGGAGATTGGCAAAGCCAAGCTCAAGGCCCAGAAAAACTGATCCGATGGCACACGTCTTTCTGTGAGTGTGTGTGTGCGCGAGTTTTGAGGCTGAAGCCGTGTTTTCCTGGTGTGGTGCCACACACACACGTGTCATGCAGTTCTGGATGGTCGTCTCTCGCGAATCTGTGAAAAATGAACCAACTTCCGATTGCACACCATGAAGCTTTTCTGTCTGCACAGTCACACATGCCAGCCCTGAAACCCCAAAAGGCCCCCCCAAAGTCCCTCTCCGTGGTGCCAGGTACTTTTTGGCTGCTGTGTGGCGATTCTATATGCGAGGAGTTGCATCCTTGGGAGGGTTTTTAGGGTTGGGGGTTTGGGGGCTAGGGTTTGGGCTAAGGGTTACTTTAAGGCTTTGGGGTTATAGGGTCTAGGGTTGAGGTTTCGGGTTTGAGGGTTAGGGTTTGGGCTATAGGGTTGGGGTTATGGAGTTTAGGGTTCAGGCTTCGTGTTTATATAGGGGCTAGGGTTTGGGCTAAGGGTTATATTAAGGCTTTGGGGTTAGGGTTTAGGGTTAAGGTTTCGGGTTTGGGGGGCAAGGTTTGGGCTATTTCTGGGTTTGTGTTTTTTGGGGTTTGGGACCCTAAACCCTAACCCCAAAGCCTTAATATAACCCTTAGCCCAAAGTGCATGAAGTTCGAGCTTGAAGCCTAAACCCAAACATCTAATCCAATAGGCCTGCAATGCCCTTCCCAAAAGCGCGGAGCCCTAGGGACTCTACATGCTCTAGATTAAATACTCGAACCCATATTGAAAATCCTATCACAACTCCCTAAAAAGT